ATTTCTTGGGAAGGCAGTAGAGAATATGCTCCAGCAAAATGAGGGGGCACCAAAAAAAGAGAGAAATACGAGCTCTAGGAAACAGTAGAATCAACATAGAAGGTGTCAGGATTATGACAGAGGCAGCCCGGAGAATAACCAGTACAAACTGGAGGAGAACAGGGCCTCCATGAAGTAGCCTGTGCTGACTTACAGTGAGTTTATAGTAACTGAAGTTCAAGTTAATTTTTTAGTCTCCCCATCTGTATTCCTATAATGTTCTTCGTTAAGACTTAAGGCCTCCCTGGTAACGCAAAGGGCCACTGTGAAGCTGTGTGCACGAATTTGATGCCCTGCCAGGGGCTGATCCACACGGCGCGGCAGACCTCTCCTGACCCACCCACTGCTCCCCTCAGCTGTGTATTCTGTCAGTCTGCTTGTTCTGCTCCCCACACTGTCTCTGGGAAATCCTCTCACCCCCTGCACCTCTGGCCTGTATCCCAGTTTATATGCATAAATAATAAATAAATCTGTTAAAAAAAAAAAAAACTTCTTACATATACTCAATGGAATATTACTCAGCAATCAAAAAAGATAACTCATGCCTTTTGCAGCAACATGGATGGAGCTGGAAGGGATCATGCTTAGTGAAATAAGCCAGAAAGAAAAGGAAAAATACCAGATGATTTCACTCATAGCAGGAATATAATGGACCAGGTGAGAAAATAATAATGAACAGCTATATATCAGAGACATTTTATGGGGATGGAGTGGAGAATGGGATCAAAAACAGCAGAGGGAGGGAAATGCACTGGACTATGGTGATGGCACATGGGTGAACTGGTGGTGGGAAGCCCACAGGGATTACAACTGAGATGGAAAAGGGCACAAAATGATGTAAAAATAAACTATTATATTATTTAAAATAAATAATTAGATAAATAAATAAATTTTTATGAGTGAAGTCTGAAAAAAAAAAAAAAAAACCTGTACCAGAAATGAATTGTAACTCTAACACACTTTCTGACGCTGCTGGTCAAGCTAAACTATCAAAACATGTGAACATTTTGCTGTTTTAATTAAATTATAGGACAAATGGTTATTTTACTAAGATGATGAAGGGAACATGGTATGACATACCTAAGGTTTTACCACCTTCGTTGAAAAAACACACAAAGCCACAGTCACGCTATCACAGTATAAGCACATTATTTACAACTAAGGACATAAAATCCATTAAGTTCATCACCTCTGGAGGAGGCCAGGGTGAGGAAACATTGGGGGAAGAATCTGATGCTTTTCATTCTCAGGTTCTTGGTATGAATTAATAATACAGAACTACGAACATGCACTGAGATTTAAAAAGGAAGTATCACCTATTTTCCATTTCATGTAGACTAAAACTCATCAGGACCTTCCAGAATCTACCTCCCCTTTCCAGTTTTTTTTTTGTTATTATTTCCTCTCTTGACCCACAACTCTCCCCACTTCCGCCCACCTCCTTCTGCCTCTTCCAGGCTGCAACAGTCTTTCCCCAGCCTCTGCCTAACAGACCTTGCATATCCCCCAGGGGCTGAGGTCCAACTTCTACCCTTTGCAGAACAAGTTTCTTGCAGAGTGACAAACCAAAGCACCTGAAAGATCAGGGACCCGGGGCTTTTCTAGTATTTCCACCTCCTGGTGAGCCCACCCCACATGCTGGCAAGAGGGGTGGGGGGAAGCCCCTAGCCAGGGGCTGTCAGCCACCTGGAACTCACAGATACATAACCTAGGAAAAGTGAAGCTTTCAGAGTACCAAGATTGCCCGGGCCCAGAATCTCCATTGTCTCCCGGACACAGGGCATTGGGCTGTGGGTAGAGCCACCCAGGCCCAGTGTCTCCCCTCTCAACTATTCAAAGGCTCCACTGGCTGTACAGAAGGATTCCTGCACTTCCTCACCTCTGGCTTAGTCTGCACTTGTCTGACTCTCTTCCCTACATCCTTTTCCCATGTGGCATGTAATCTCCCAGGGCAGATACTATGCCTCCTGGTCTTAGAGGGATGTCTCAAAAGAAGGGGGTGCTCTCCACAGGCACCTGTGAGGGCAGAGGGAAGGAGAGGCAGCAGAGACCATGTTTATGGGTTGAGGTGCTTGAGAAGCTGGCTGGGGGGTGCTTCTCTGGGGATGACCTGACCCAACCTCACAGTCCATACTCCAAGTCCTGTCTCCTCCAACACACTCTGGCTCTTGAGGACCTGCATTCATGCCCCAGGCCCTGAAACCATCCAGGAGTCAACATTCGGGATGGAGGACTAGGTCCACACGCTGCCTCCTGCCCCTCAGTGTCCCCAGTGGGCTTCCATCCCCTTCCACAGCCTCCAGTCCAGGAGTGGAGCTGCCTTTACGGCAGACGAGAAGGGCCGCCTTCTACTAGGTCAGCTCTCTGAGCCCTCTGGCCCCACACCTCATCTCAGCCCCTCAATACCGAACGGACATCTGCCCCTCCCGTCCCAGATTTCCACCTGTGGCAAGGACGCCTTATGGCCACTCTTCCTTGCGATCACTGCCTACAAGGAGGAAAAAGGAGCTGATCAAGGGCTTACCCAGAACTTCACAAGAAAGAAGGCATTGGAAGGTCCTCGTTCAAAAAGCTCCTTGAGCCCACCCTTTTTCTCCGGGAATTTGTCATAGATCTGGCGGATGTCTACGGCTTCGAGGTAGGGGTCACTGTAGCTTGGGCTGGACTGGCCAATGTGAACGAACAGGTGCTTGTTGTACTGTGGAGAGAATGGTGGTTGGATGGGGACTGGAGGGAGGCAGGGAGGCAGCGGGGCAGGGGGAAAACAGACCAGAGCTCAGATCCCAGCCATGTGGCCTGCAGTAACCGGCTTCCTTCCCCAGTGGGAAATGGGAGGCAGTAAAGGGAGGAGCAGGAAAGCCAAGGTACCGAGCTGAAGCACTCCAGGGCCTGGCACCTACTGGGTCCTAAATAAACCGGGTGTTGTCACTGTATTGTTCTTAGTCCTGGCTCTATGATTAAATATTCTTAAGCACCTCATTTTCTCCCTGGGTGTCTTTGGTGTCATCTGCATGCGATGAGAAGGTGTTGTCCAACTGACCTGCAGCTGGAGGTGGGGGTGCCCTCACAGATACCCTGCTACCACCCCAGTTATTTCATTGTACACCAGGACTTGGAGTCAGCATCTGACTAATGGGTTCCTCGGGTCAAAAAGTTAGTTAAGTTTGAAACTATCAGAGTGGAATGTCTGTGAAGCTCCCTGTCACCCCCTCCTCCAGGTGCTACTCCGACTTCTGCAGGTAACGGAGGCCACCAGGACCCAGGCACTGTGGGGCTGGGGAGGCTCAGAGGAAGTGGGTCAAGCACAGGGAGCCCCTCGGCCTCCTGCCGTCTGCTCAGAGCCACAGGGAAGGGGGTGAAACAGCAGGGGCCCCCCCGGAGATGGGGTGGGGCAAAGAAACCAGGGAGGGTGTTTCGCTGGGGTGGGAACAGTAAAGCAAGAAGGGAGAGAGGGAGGTGAAGTGAGGGGAGAGGAGAAAGATGGAGTGAGGAAGGGAAGGGAAAGAGTAAAGAGGGCACGGGTCAATCGGAGGCAAGGTGGAAAGGAACATGAACCCCAAGTTAAGGCCAGGCTAGGGCAGGGCAGAAGAGCAGGGCAGGAAGCCAGAGCAGGTATGAAGAGCTGAGCAGGTGCCCGGCCAGACACCGACGGGACCTACCGTATCAGGGTCCTGCTGCTGCTCCAGGAAGGCAGAGAACTCCAACATCCAGAGCTTGGAGCTAGCCACGCTGCGGCCCTGCCACGGGGGTGCTGGTGGCGACGGGGCGGGTCCTGCAGGAGTCTCAAACCCTGCGTGCATTGAGGAGACGCGTGGGAAGCTGTCCACCCCAGGGGTCCCTGCCAACGTCCTCTGCAAGGACCCCGGCCCACCATGGAGACAGACCCCCTGCTGGCAAGGGGCCCGCCTGCCTCCAGGAACTGGGCCTCCAAGCAGGGGTGATGGAAGGGGGGCAGAGCTCTGGCTGGAGCGTCCAAGAGCAGGCCCCGGTGGGGACAGCTCAGCCAGGAACTAACTCAAGGGAGAGTGGATGCTGGCCTGGGGGACGTGATGCCCGCTGGACTGAGGGCGCTTGGAACGGGCACTGCTGGGCTTTGCCCTTGAGCAGCCCCTCGTGCAGCTGTGGCAATGGCCAGGAAAATTATCACAATGACATGAGAGGTGGAAGTTTCTTGTTTGGGCCCCATTGTCTCTCCGGCCCTGAGAACAGTGCCTAGCCCAGAATGGGTACTCGGTGCACGCCGGCTAACGTGGCAAAATGAGTGTGATAAAAATCTGATGAGGGCCCTCCCTGGTGGCGCAGCGAGTTAAAGCACAGCACAAAGAAGCCAAAGCCACTTCCGCATGAGTTCGATTCCCACCTGCCCTGGAGGAGATGCACATGGCCAGGCAGACCTCTCCTGACCCGCCCGCTGCTCCCCTCAGCAGTGTACTTCATCGTTCTGCCTGTTCTGCTCCCCACTCTGTCTCTGGTGAATTCTCTACCCTCCGCATCTCTGGCCTGTACCCCAGTTCTGTACGAATAAATAAATAAATCTTTAAAAAAAAAATCTGATGAGGTGTGTAGTCTGCACCACGGAGGGGACCCAGGTCCACCTGGGGGGTGGGGGGTGGGGCCCAGTTAGTTTTTCTATCAAAGGTGACATCTGAGTAAAGTGCAAGTAGGGGGAGCAGGTGAAGACAGGGAAGGGCCCCCCACTCCCCACCCCAGCAGAGGGCACAGCAGAGGCACAGGCCTGGGGCTGTGAGCAGCTGCCTGAATCGGGAGCTCAGTCTTGGGTGGAAGTGGGGAAGACAGGGAAACGGAGCTAAGGAGCCAGGCCTCGGGAGCTGGGCTAAGATGACCTGTAGCCTGAGAGTTGAGGAGAGGACGGAGGGGCTCAAGCAGAGCAGTGAAATGGCCAGATCCGCATTTCTGCAGGACCCACTCTCTGTGCATAAGACGACCCGGCAGAGGAGGTAGACCAGGAGCCCAGTCCTTGCAGCCCCTTTCCCGACAGAGCAAGCAGCCTGAGCTGAAGCTGTGTGGTGGGGTGAGAGGGGACACAGCAGGGACATGGTGGGGCCCAGCCCGGGACTGGGTGACTGGTGAGCGTGCCAGGAGGACATCACGCCCCAAAGCAGGTAACTCGGCAGCACACGGAGGAAGGAGACAGAGGACCGTGCTGGACACATCGGCCCATCCCTCACTGCCCGGCTCAGCTCTGCCTCCGAGACCGGTGCGACCCGGCACCTCCCACGCACCAAAGACAGGGCCAGTCATGGCTCTGCCCAACACACAAGGAAAGGCCAAGCGCTAGGTGGAGGGTTCCAGAGCGCTGGGCGGGAGGGGGCAGGGGCCCAGGCAGAGCCAAAGCCCAGAGGCAGGAAGGGGGGAGGAGAGAAGGGGAAGGTTAACAGGAAGGGCCGTAAAACTCTGATAGGGTTCGGCTTGCTGTATCCAGGAGGCAGCAGGCGCCTGAAGGACTTTAAACCTCAAAGCAGCAGAGTAAGGGCAGAGGCTTTAAAAAGGTCCCTGGGGGCCCTCCCTGGTGGCGCAGCGGGTTAAAGCACTGCACTGAGAATCTAAAGCCACTTCCACATGAGTTTGATTCCCGCCTGCCCCGGAGGTGCCCACATGGCCATGGCGTGCCAGCCCTCTCCTGGCACGCCCGCTGCTCCCCTCAGCAGTGTACTTCGTCCATCTGCCTGTTCTGCTCCCCACTCTGCCTCTGGTGAAGCCTCTCACCGCCCCTGAGCCTCTGGCCTGTACCCCACCTCTCTATGTACAAATAAATAAATCTTTAAAAAAAAAAAAAAAAGGTCCCTGGGGATGAGACAGGGTGAAGAGAGGCGCAGAGATGGGAACTGCAGCTGAGAGGAGCCGCTGCAGACATGCCCGCGGGCACTCGGAGGGCCTGAGTGCAGCCAGGGAGGCCAGAGAAAGGACAGGCCCGAAAGGACAGGCCCAGCAGAGGGGTGGGCCGCAGGGGCCGAGGAAGGGCAGGGCTGCCCGTGAGGGAAAGCCAGGCCTTTGTGGGCCGGAGGTGGTCCCCCGTCAGAAAAGGGAGTCAAGGGCAAGGCTCCTGTTAGCAGGAGCAGAGACAGCCCATCGCCTGAGAGCGGGGAAGGGGTCCTTGCCCTCGGCCAAGCTCTGTCCGCCTGCCCCACCTATGCTCCAGGTGCCCCTAGACGAGGTCCCTCTGCTAGCAAGGGGCACTGGCAAGAAAGCTGAGCTCCGTCCACACTCCCATCTTGCAGGAGGAGACCGCTGTGTCTCCCAGAGGACGCCATTCCAGCCTCGGGCACCGGGACACTATAGCTCACCGCAACAAGAGGGATCCCTACTGGCTTCTAAGCGGAGGTTCACGCCCTGCGAGTCCTTGGCCAGCAATCCCGAGCACCAACAGGTGTGTGCTGGAGGCGCGTTACCGCTGGGGCCAGGGGATTAGGATGTGAGGTCTGAGCACGCACCAAGGAGCCATCTAAGGGGGCAGGGGGCATCGACCGTCGGGGGCTGGGACGTGGGGTAGACGCCGAGAGGGCAAGGAAGTTGCACAGAGACACCCACCTGGCAGGGGCAGTGCAGGCTGGACGTTGTAGGTTTGTTGAGAGAAAGGTTTCACACTGCGGGGGACAGGAGAGGAGTGTAAGCCTGGCAGAGCACAGCCAGAGAGCCACGCGTGGGCCCACCCCGCCAGTGGTCTGCTCAGCACTGGTCTTAGAGTTTGGCCCCCCACTCCGGCCCTAGCCACTCACTAGGTCCCGTTCCCAGCCTCCCTCTCGGAGTCCCAAGCTCTGGCCCTGCCAGACACTGGACAGACTGGAGCTCCGGCTTTCGTCAGCGCAGGCACCTCCGCTGGAGACCGAGCTGATGCCTGAGGGCAGCAGAGCTTCACCCCTGAGCTCAAGGCCGTCCTGAGAGGGCCCCCTGGGCTGAGCCACACAGCCTAAGTTTATGGGCTCAAGTTTAGCTGGTGGAGCCAAAGGCAGAGGCCGCCATACTCACTCGTGGGACGTTCCGGCTTGGCCTGGCAAAGCTCCTTGCCAAAACTGAGGAGGCAAAAAGTACAGAGTCAGCACAGACCCTTGTGCCGCGGGTGGGGGCGAGACGAGGCTGGAGGTCGGAACCGTGGGAGGCAGGGAGAAAGGTCAACTAGTCTAGTGCTAGGCTGGAGCAGAGTCCCAAGTGTCGGGGAGAAGCACCAGCTTTGGTGAACACGGTGCACCCTTCCCTGGACAGAGCCGTGACACACGAGGCCCCGAGTGGTCCTGCGGTCAAGAAGCCCGCTTCGGCCCCGGTGTCCCCAACTCACTCACATGCAGGCTCCCTGTGCCCTAGTCCACATCCCCGTGGACTAGGGAGAAGCTTGCACTCACCACACACCAGGGCTTCCTGCCCGTGCCCAAGGCCTGGGGCGCTGTGTGGGCCCGCAGGGGTGACCCACTTAGCCCCCAGAGCTAAGAAAACCTGCGAGTACAGTCCTGGAGACAAGGAGCCCTTCGGGGCCATTCTGACAATATGCGCGACATGGCCGTGGCTGAGAAATTCTAACTCAAACCAGAGTCTAACCCGTACCTGGACATCAGTCCCCCCAGGTGGGCGGGCAGCCCCTCGCTGCAGCCGCGAACCTGTCACTCAGCTACCGACATCGGCTAGTGCAGCAGCTGTCCCCAGGGAGAGGTCTGTTGCGCCACTGCCAGTTACCCCAGAAGGTGGTTCCAACACCAGCGGGGACGTGACCCCTCCATCCTTGGTCCCTCCTTCCCCCTGGCTTTCCTGGCCTGGAGGATGCAAGAGTAACGAGTTTGGCCTGGCCAGAGCTTCAGGCGCTTCAGAAGGGGGAGGCTCCAGGCAGCCCCACTTACCCCTGAGACTGCTGGGTAGCCTGGGCCCCGGCTGAGGGCCATTTTATTGTGGAAGGCTGTGGCGGAGATGATCTGTGCGGACGACATGGTAGCCATGCTCTGCAGGGCCTTGTCCTTAGCTGCCTGATCCTGGGGGAAGACAGTGGAAGGGGGGCCTCAGCGGTGGTCACTCAGACGAGGCGGGTCCGAGCTTGTGGTCAGGGAAGCTGTCCCACTGCTTGTGGCCAGGGCCCTGGAAGAGGCCCCAGGGACCAGGTTTAAGCCCTCGCAGTGTTGTTAACTTGTTCTGTGGCTGAGCGCACGTCACTGGGCGGTCGGTTTCCTCATCGGTCAGAGCGACATACTACTGGCCTCGCCCACCGTGGCTATCTTATGAGGACTTAGAGAGAATCTGGAGACCGTCTGCCAGACCTTAGCTTTCACCTGACTTAGCAGGAGAATACCTTGAACAGAGCCCTGTCTGATAACTTCTACCCAAGCATCTCGGCTGCTAACGTTTGCCAACGAATTGGCTGTGGGCACTTTTGCAAGCGAGGGACCTTCTAAAAGGGCACCATGAAGAATGAGAATAGGACAAAACCGATTTTCTTTCGTGGATTGTTAACTAAGCGCTTGTCTCCCAAGTGTTTCTCCCCTTGACAGTACTCCACATTATATTTTCAGTCATCGAATCTACCGAGGGTGAAATCAGAGCGCGTCAAGTCAGCTCACATAGTACGATCCCAGAAAAGGGCACGTCGGCTTGCTTGGCTTCTTATTTCGTCAAAGGAGAAATGGAGCCAAACTTACAACTCACTGCTGACGGTTCCTTCCCTGGCGAAAGTGCCTTGCAGCCAGTGACTCACACGGCACATGTGGTCATGGCAGAACTACCCAGAACCTTCAACAATAGGGGCCCTTAGGCCCTGCTCACTCCAGCACACCTGTGGTTCCCAAACCCTGCCTTACAGTAGATGAGGCGTACATATTTGCTGGGTGCTTCTGGGGTGGGCAGGAATGGTCTTTTTGGTCACAGGCAGGCAGGCCGCACGCTCCCAGGGCCTCTCCTACAGGCCTCCTCCTGCACCGTGGCCACTGTGACACTCCCTCCCCTTCCAAGTGAGCACCCACAGCCTGCCCTCTGCGGGACCAAAGACCCAAAGACCCCAAAGAATGGGTTCAGCTTGCACAGGTGCTGTTAAGGAGCATCAGGGGCCCTCCCTGGTGGCGCAGAGGGTTAAAGCACAGAACTTAAAGGCACGGCTGCTTCGGATCGAGTTCAGTGCCCGCCCCAGAGGTGACCCACATGGCGCAGCAGACCTCTCCTGTCTCACCCGCTGCTCCCCTCAGCAGTGCACTTCTTCCATCTGCCTGTTCTGTTCCCCACTCTGTCTCTGGTGAGTCCTCTCACCCCCTGCACCTCTGGTCTGTACTCTAGTTCTGTATGCACAAATAAATACATCTTTTAAAAAAAAATGTACAAAATGATGTAAAAATAAACTTTTTTAAAATAAAAAAAAAAGGAACACATTTGTTAGGAACACATCAGCACGACAGCACTGGTAACAGCAGTAATAATAATTTCTTATACTTGTATGAGTGCGAGTCCTACCCCAGACTCCTTAGCCCCTGAATCTTCAAAAGCAGCAAGGCAACATTCCATATGTGAAAAAGTTTATGAAGAATGTATCTTGAACCAAAATAACACCACGAATAAGGCTTGGAACACTCAGTTTCATGGAGGCTAAAAGGCTGGATCATGGCAACTCAAAAGCTCTGATTAGAAACCCGATGTTTATTACGATGAATTTTTTTTTTCCCATAGGAAAAACTAGTCATTCTTTAGGAACAAACTTAGACCCAGCCCTGTCCCAACTGACAGCCAGCTGGGGAGTGACAGGTGCCTGTGGCTCACAGGTGCGGTGGGGGAGACCCCAAGTGGCCGAGCCACAGCCTGTGAGGAGGCACCACGGGCCATGGGGCGCCACAGGACTGAGGGGTCCAGGTGAGGCACGGCCAAAGAGCACAACACAAGAGGCCCGTTCATGCCCTTTTGGGGAGACATTCTTGCTCATGTGGTGCAAGATAGCCCGGGGAAAGTAAGCATGGCCTCGCTTTGATTCTGAGCACCAAGCACTCCTGCATGGCTGGCAGGACCTGCGGAATCTCCATCTTAACGTGAAGAAACAAGCTCAGAGAATTTCAACGAGTCGGGTGTTGGGGGGCTGAGACAGGGCCATGGCTGTCTGCACTGGCACAAACAGACCTGCCTCTGGGCACCCCAAGGGTCGACGGCATCCACCTCCATCAGGGAGGGCACACGAGACCATTTTGAGAGGTGGGGCATTCTTACCCCCCCCAACCCCGTCCTTTGGGGCCAAACTCGGGGCCCTTGCTCCTCAGTAAAGAGCTAAGTAAAGAGCGAGCTAATAGGCACAACGCGTGCCTCTTCCCAAGACGCTGGCTCTGTTCAGGAGGGAACACCTGGCCGGCCCGGGCCCTCTCCCTCTGAGAGGCCAGGAATGACGCAACAGGCCGCACCACACAAGCCTGTAGACCCCAGTGATTTGTCAACTGCATCATGAGGCGGGAGAGCTCCATCCGCTCCATGTCAGCAACTGGCATCCCTTCCCGGATAACTGAGCTAAACAAACGATGGAGTTCAGGAAGCCACGTCCTCCGTGGGCTGGGACAGGAACCAGCACTATGGGGCGTGACATCAGTGACCAGAGCCACAGAGTCACTGAATTTTGGAACTGGAGGTGACCTCAGATACTACCCTATGACCCCCTCATTTTACAGACAGGAAACTGGGTGGAAGGGGAGGAGGGCCGGGGCTCATCGGAGCTCCCACGGCAGAACCGGCCCTGGTGACCCTGAGGACTTCCTGCTGACCTCCCCACCCACCAGGGAGCTTCATGACTTTGTGTCCCAGACACCTTGAGAACATGAAGATCCTCTGAGCGGGATCTCCCCACGAAAACACATATATGTGAAACTGGCCTATTCGTTAAGGGGTCCATGTCTGTCCAGTGCTGCACAGAGGCTGTGGGCAAGGAGGAGGCCATTCCTTGAGGCAAATAGGAACCAGACAGGCCCCAAGGATTAAAAGTTCCCCTCAGTGGCTCTAGACACCTGATCGCCTGCTGGGGTCCCAGTGAACCAGAGGCCAGGCAGAGGGGAAAACTGGGGGGAGCAAGCTGGACTCCAGGGCCTGGGGGTGTCCTGGGGACACATGCCAGTCTGAGAGAAGGGTCAGCAGCTGCAGTCCACCCAGCTGTCCCGGGGACAAAGAAGCGGGTTGCTGGACACAACTGTGTAGGATAGGGGACAGCTGGGTGGTGGCAGGAATGGAGCAGGCCAGCAGTGGGGTGTGGCTTTGAGTCCCCGCCCACTCATTCCAAGCTGCCAGGGTCAAGTTCATGGATCACCCAGCCAGATGGAGCTTCCAGGTCACTGAGTTTTAAACTAGGTTCCGAAATTTCGGGTTCAAGAGCCAGAGGCCGCAAGAGGTGAACAGGAGGAGAGGGTCTCTGGCTTACTCCCTGCCAAGCTAGTTTTGACCAGAGATAACACTTCTGATAACACATCAGGGGATGTTTTTTTTTTTTTTTTGGGGGGGGGGGCCCAGAAACAAAAGGGTTTCCACTGCCTAAAAAACTATAAACCACTGGCCAAGTCCAAGGCCCCAGATGTTAGCTTTTCCCACCAAGTAGCTGGCCGGCTCCGCTAGTAACGGCTCTGTATGGGAACTCACTCTCCTGGTCTCCTGGTGTTCACCAGAACAGCCCCTTGACTCCCAGACCAAAAGGCCTGAGTGGTAGGGAGCAGGACTAGCCAAGGGGAACCCATCAACAGCTGGCACCCCCATAAAGATGTAGGGCCCAAAAGGAGGGGCTGGCTACGAAAGGGGAAGGAACTGCCAGGCCCAGACAGCAGGGGGGACGCATGTTGTCGGCTCCCGCAATAGCATCAAAAGCGCCCCACAGGCCCTCCCTGGTGGCGCAGCGGGTGAAAGCACAGCACTGAGAAGCTAAAGCCGCTTCCACATGAGTTCGATTCCCGCCTGCCCTGGAGGTGACCACATGGCACGGCAGACCTCTCCTGACCCGCCCGCTGCTCCCCTCAGCAGTGTACTTCGTCCATCTGCCTGTTCTGCTCCCCACTCTGTCTCTGGTGAATCCTCTCACCGCCCCTGAGCCTCTGGCCTGTACCCCAGTTCTGTATGTACAAATAAATAAATCTTTAAAAAAAATTAAAAAATCGCCCCACAGCAGTGCCTCCGTGCCCAGCCTCCTGCGGGGGTCGGCGGATGGCACAAAGGGGCCGTAGCTCAAGGAGGTCCTCAAGAAATGGGATTTGAGGGGTCATCCACTGCCCTAAAACACGTGATCCGGGCAGCCAATGCCTCTGAACTGGAGAGGCGGTGGGGCTCAGCAGACACCCCAGAGCGCCTAGATGCTGTGGGAAATCTGGGTGTGCCCCTCCTGTGCCATGGGAGAGAGTGAACCCGTGTCCTCTAGCCCCAGAGGCATGCTGACACTGCAGACAAGCACCCGAACCCGAAGGGAATAGAGCCCCGAGTCCCGGGGAGCTGGCCCCCCAGTGCCTGAGGCGCCCCGCTGCTGTGGTTTCCTTACCTTTAGCTTGGCCTGGATCTCGCGGGCTTTGCGACGAGCCAGCACCTGGATGTGGCTGGAGACCTGTGGCAGGAAGAAGAGGTTCCTGTCCCTCCCTCCCAGGACTCCTGGGCTCCCCCACCCACCCACAATCCTTAAGCCACATCTGTGGAATCGACGAATGGATGGAGACCACCGATGACAGCCCTGCCTTTTCCAGACAGCGCAGAGTTGGTACCAGCTCCAAGGCAGTGCAGGTGCTCTGCTGTCTGTTGGCCCTGGGTAAGGTGGGCGGGGGATTGCAGGGGAACAACCATCTGTGGCACCCAACAGACACAGCCCTGCGCGTGGCCCAGAGAGCCCGTGTGTCCAGCCCAAGGCCTGGCCAACGGCGGGGCGGACGGTGCCCATCCGCGTGCCGGTCTCCCCGGGCCCACCTGCTTCCGAGTGCGGGTCTTCCCTGTCCGGAGCTTGATGTAGCGGGCGATCAGCTCATTCCGACCTGCAGAGACACCGACAGCCGCTTAGCGGGAGGACAGCAGGCAGGCTAGCAGGAGTGTGTAAGGGGCCCTTCCTTCACTCTGCCCACCCAGAGTGGCAGCTGGGGTGAGATTCTCTGGTTCCTCCCGCCTTCCTGGACCCCAGCAGTGTCCCAGCAGCAAGAGGAAGCTGAGGCGTTGCTGGGGCCAGGTAACCTGGGAACAGGGCTGTGGACCTCTGGCTGGCACGCAGCTCTCGGGGTGTCCTTACAGCCTCCCTCGACCCCATCCATCCTACAGCAGCCAGAGCTGCCTCTCTGCACCCGCCTTCTTTTGAGGCCTTCTGCGCCCCAGGGGGGCTGCAGGGAAGCGCAGGGGTGAGGCCCTTCCCCTCTGCAACTCTCACTGTGCCTGCCACCTCTGTCAATGAGCAGAACCTGGCAAGATGGCTCGCTCACATTGCTGTCTGTGAGCGGCAAAGGGGTGTCAGTGCTGAGACACCGAGTGTACCCAGAGAGGAGGCCTAGGCCCTGAGGTTAGACGCAGACACCCCATGCTGACCGCACGCCCTGCTCCACGGCTGACCAGAGGGGCACCAGGGAGCACCGGGTGCTCGGAGGTGACGCCGAGCCCGAGAGATGCTGGAGCCCAGCAAGGAGCCACCGTGGGCCGTGATTCTAAACAAGATTACGAGGCGGTTTCAGAGAGCCCAGCGCCTGGCTGAGAGACACGGGCCCGCGTTGGCAGAGCAGGGCACGCACCAGGCAGGGAACACGGTGTGTTCAGAGGCCGAGGGGTCAGGTCAGGCTGGGTGGTCAGGTGAGCCTTAGCTGGACCTAGACCTCAGGGCAGCATCAGGCCAGAGTGGCAGTGAACCGAGGGGCCCGTCGTCACTTTCACGCTCCACCTCTGGGGCCAGAGGGCCCAGCCGCCCGCCTGCCCCGTCCGGCTGGGCCCGGAGGCCGTGGCTGAGTGAGGACGCTTCTGCAGGAGGCCAGAGAGAGGGCTGCCTGCCACTTGGCTGTCAACCAGCGAGCACAGCCAAGGTCAAGCTGGCCCCCCCCGGCTGACCTTTCACCACTGCCAAGACCGAATTAAGAGGCCACACTCAGGAGGGTCATCTGCCAGGAAGACATGCTGGTCCGAAGCACCCGCCTGTCTGTATCGGGGCAGACCGGACCGTGGAGACACCCCACAGGGGCTTGTCCGCACCTAAAACCACGGTCCAGCAAGGTGTCTCTGCGCAAAGCTTTCAGGGAGAGGTAGGCCACAGCTCCTTTGGCTGTCCAAGGAATGTTTGACAGTCCTACCTGTTGTCTAACTAGAAGTACTCGTGCTGCATGATGACATTTTCATGGGCAAGAGAGTCTAAGTCATCACCACTGAGGACTTTCACCGGTGAAGACAAGCCCTGGAACTGGGAGATGGGAACCTGGCTGCCAGCCTGCTGCACAGGAACGAAGGAGCACAGGACCCCAGCCAGTCCCTGTCCTCGCTGGCCCAGCCTTTTCTTCTTACGGTCTCTTTCCTCCAAATTTTTCCAGACTTAAGAAACAGGCTCCAACTTTGGCTCACTGGGTCCCTTCAGTAAAATGAACACCAGCGGGCCCTCCCTGGTGGTGCAGCGGGTTGAAGCGCAGCACTGTGAAGCTGTCAGCAGCCACTGCAGCGCGAGTTCAATCCCCGGCCAGGGAGCTGACCACCCACATGGCGCGGCAGACCTCCCCTATCCTGCCCGCTGCTCCCCTCAGCAGTGTACTTCAGTAGATCTGCCTGTCCTGCTCCCCACTCTGTCTCTGGTGAAGCCTCTCACCACCCCCCGCACCACTGGCCTGTACTCTAATTCTGTATGCATAAATAAATAAATCTTTAAAAAACACCTCTTTCCATATTGCAGGCAATTTTACCTACTGCAAACAAGGAAACTGGGGTCAGTCACAAAACCTCACCCAGATGGCCCACAGACTAACTGCCCAAGTTTTACTTGGGCACCTGTGAGTGGCACAGAGTGGTGCAGGAGCTGGGGAGCACCCGCCCCCCACGAGCTGAGACCCTTCTGCAGATAACTCTCGGGCACTGCTTCATTCTTTCTCCTTCTGGACTCTCGTTATATCTGTATCTTCAAGAGTACATATTCATCTTCTATTTCATCTACCTTCGTGCTTTTTCCAGAATTTTTCAGTTCCTCCACTGATCTTTTAGCTACCTCCAGGGCCTTTCCTTTCTCATTTAACGATTCAATCTCGTTCTTCCCTTGGCCGACGACTGACCGCTGTTTTTCAGAGCATTCTGCTCCTTTGAGTTCTTTAATTAAGAAGCTTCTGAATTCTTTATCTGTCAGGCAAAGAAATTCTTCCATGTCAGTGTCCCTGGGCTCTGGGAGCTGATTTTCTTTCTGTGATGTGTTGTTCTCGGGGGGCTTTGCCCGGCCACTTGTTTATTTCTTTCTCCCCATTGTTCACTTCCGTGTTTGTTCTTGGCTTAGGGCCATGAGCTACTGGTGCCCACTGGCCTGACTCCGGTGTGAGGCTCCTTACTCCGGACACCACGGGTCCTGGGCGTGAGTGCTTGCCCGGGCCACAGCCCTCTACCCTCTGGCCCGGGGTACAGGAGCTCCGTCTGCAGACCAGCCACCTTGACCTTGGCCACAGGGGCCCGCAGGGGCCTAACCCACCAAGCCAAGACTTGAATCTCTCCAAGTTGTGCCTCTTCCCTTCCTCTCTCAGGAATCCTGCCCTCCCTTGCTCCCTCAGCTCAGCCCATTATTCCACCCGGCTAGTTTGGTGTTGTCGTCCAGGGCGATGCCAGCATTTGCGAGCCCCTGGGTGGGAGTGAAGTGCTGGGTTTCTGTGGGTGTGCTCAGTCAAGGGGGACCAGCTTCCTTCCTGCCACAGAGGTGCACCTGGTCATTCTGCTGCCTGCGGCCAGCTGGCATCTAACCCAGACTCCTACAGACGGGCCTCGCTGCCGTGTCTCTGACACTCGTAGCAACAGAAACAACGGGAAGGTTTCTGAGCACTCCAGGCGCCCTGTGCTAGGCACTAGACTTGCAGCTTTACCCTTTCACTGCTCCAGGCACCTGGTGTGAAAGCTTCATTCTGGAGACAGGGAGGTGGCGGTGCAGACAGGTTTAGAAACTTGCTCGGGGTCACATGCCAGCGAGTGGTTGAGTGTCACTTCCATGCAGCCTCGTTCCTGAGTCCACCTCTCAATTGTGGCACATTATTGTTATTTAACACGGCGAGGCCAGGGGCCCCCAGAGGTCAGGGCTAACCTAAGGAAGAGGAGGCTGCGGCCCCGACCCAGTGAGCGGCTTATTGCCAGCCGCATGGTTTGCTGGAGTGCCAGGCGCTGTGAGGACATACGTTTCTGAGGCCTCACTGCTACTGCGCAATGGCTGCTTTGCTCCCAGGATGCGCTCCCCTGGCTCTGTAAGAGCGTTTTCTGCTCCTCCCTTCTGGATCCAGCTCCTGATGCTCTGGGGCTCAGCATGCAGTAAGCCCTTTGCGATGTCTGACTGCCGGCGCCCAGCCCCAGGTCCAGCAGGGAGAGCCAACCGCCTGGCCCAAGAGCCTGCCCACCTGTTCCCCCCTCTCTGTGTTACCCAGAGCTGGCAGGAGCCTGTGTGCTCTGGAGAGTCAGAGAAGCAGCGGGAAGGAGGGCGCAGAGGCCCCGAGAGCGAGCCGAAAAGCCACAGGGGAAGGACAATGCAGTAGGAAGCCTGCAGGAAACCCAGCAGGGCCGGTGGGAGACAGCCTGTGTTCTGGTCCAGCTCTGCTGCTGGCTGTGTAGTAACCCCAGGCTTACCCCTCGGGGGCCTGGGCTCACGGGCTGGGGAAGCATGAGGAAGCCAGCCTGGACTTCGCGGAGGCCAGCTGGGCAGCTGGGCATTGCTGTGCGGCAGGTGGCCTTGACCAACCCGAGAGGGCCAGGGTGGGGCTGGGAAGGACGCCCCCGCCAGCCCATCCCATCTGTCAGAGCACATGTGTCCCACCGCCCCCAGATCTCACCCACAGCCCCTCCCCACACGGGCAAGGACTGCCAGCCTCGGCTTAACCACAGGCTGAGGGCAGGACGTTCCCTCTCTAGGATCCACGCAGGGACACCCCCACTTTCTACCAACCCCAGTGTCCCACACACCCTGTTAGCCATGCCAGACTTGCACAGCCACATGCTACCACTGAAGTTATTGTCCCATGTGCAAAATCACTTCTTAGGTATTTACTTCCCTCCCTCTGCACCAGCCCTCGGCTCTGAGCCACAAACTTATGGTCCTGTTAGAACTAAAGCCCCTAGTTAGCAAAATTAAAAGAGGTCAAGAGCCCCGGGGCATGCACGCCCCCGCCCAGGGAGAGGCGGATCTGCACTTGAAGACCTTTGGCTCACCAGAGGCCTCTCACAGAAGTGAGTCTTTATATAAAGTCGCTGCTGCACCCCGTGGGTTGTGGCAGGGAGGAGGCCTGCTCTTCCCAATCCCACCCTAATCCTGTCGGTCCAGGGGCCCCTCTGTCCAGGGATCAGCTGAAGCTATAAACACCTGCAGCTGGGGGGTGGAGGCTATTTGTGGATAGAAACTTCTACCCGAAGCCTGAAAAGGCAGTGATTAGGCCTGATACCCGAGCTGTTACCACCACTGACCCTGGAGGCTTCTGGCGACACCCAACCCAGCCTGCAAAGCCTGTTGCCCCCCTCACCCCCCACCAAGTGAGTGCCACTACCTGCTCCAAGCCCTGGTGCCCAGGGCTTGTGCCTTTCTCACAGTCCTGTGCAAAAATGATGTGGGGTCTTCTCTTACCCCCCCGCCCCATGTCCCCCCAACTAATTGAGGTTCCTTGAGGGCAGGCATGTACGTGTCCCAGGCAGCTCTATGAGCAACTGCCCCTGCAGAGGTTGGAACACAAATGCTCCACATCAACAATCACAAGGGACATGAGAATCAGAACCTCGAGACATCACTTCACACCCGCTAGGGTAGCTTTTTTTTTTTTCCTGGAAAATAACAAGTGATGGCACAGATGCAAAG